AAAAAAAAAAGGAAAAAGTATACCTGAATAATAATATTAAAGATTCATCAAGCATGAGAGATCTAATGCCATTAATGTTATATTAATTGGACTTGGGGAAACAGGATTTCTTACCAACACCACAAGCCTCATCAAATTCTTGGGTGTTCAAATTTCCAGAGGCGGTTGCAGCAAGAAAGGTGAATGCCGCTTCTAACTGTGCAGGGGTTTTAATCTGCAACGGTCCAGTAAAAGACAAATATGAAGGGGCTTCACCAATTTATTAGTCATAACAGCCTCAATATTTTTATTACCTAAAACAGACACAGACATTGACGATTTACAAAAGTAAAGGGGTCGCAGTTCTACTGCTATGCTTGCATAAACGGACAACCAAATAAAAAGAACATGAATTTTGACCTGAGCATACAACAAACCTTTGTTGATACAATGTACTGAAGCAATGTGGGCCGGTGGTTAAGTGCATTGGCTGGAAACTTTGTAGCAACCTATCATGCAAAAGGATAAAGTTGGTTACATCTTTCACATTCTCATCGTAGTGCTTATCCTCTCAACGCAATGGAAAAGAATAAGATATATTTCAATTTTAAGCTTCACGAAAAGATAAACTAAACGATCCAAAATGGTCCTAAGTTTTTGATTAATGCATGGGAAGAAAATTATATGCAAGTTGAATATAAATGACAGATTTGCCAACTTATTGTCAAAATTTTAGAAGCCTACCGTGTATATCAGGTTGCCTACAGTACGGTCACAACCATCAGTCACAGCTGCCTGGATTAATCACGAAACAAAGTGTTAAGAAAAAATTGATGACATATAATTGCTTTTCAGGGAACTTTTATTAGAATAAGATATTACATCTCAAAAGATGTTTAAAATATCTAGCAGAACAAATAATCAACTAATGTAACCAATAAGAAACGTTGCACACAGCTATTTCATCCTAGCACACCTCCCTACAACTAGCTACATTGTGCAGTTTAGTCGCAAGAATATGATGGTATGAGAAAACTGATGGCATTATACATGTACAAAGCATGTAATTTACACACATATAGAACAAACCCATATGCATTTATTTATTTATTTTGATAAGGAAAAATTTCCGTACCTTGGTGTGTCGCTGCACTCCTGTGGGAACCCATATGCATTTATTACATCTAAAAAATACTAGAGATACAAATATCAAGATTGCAGCTGACAGTTTTCACCTTTTTCATATACATATGTAAAGTAAGTTACTTACACAAATAGAGAGATACCCATATGAAATTATGCATCTAAAATACTTGAGATACAACAATTAAAATTCCAGCTGAACAATTGTACCTTTTTAAATATATATATACATATATATGTGTGTGTGTGTGTGTGTGTGTGTGTGTGTATAAAGTAGGTTATTTACACAAATAAAGAGATGCCCATATGAAATTATGCATCTAAAAATACTTAAGATACAAAAAATATCAAGATAACAGCTGAAATTAGCAACCTGTTTTTAATATACATATGTAAAGTAGGTTATCTACACAAATAGAGAGACACCCATATGAAATTATACAACTAAAATTACCTCGTGAATAACGGCAGTAAGATTAGTGGTAACTTTGTTGTTAGCCAAAGTATTTTTGGCAGTCTTTTCATCTAATCCAATTTTCAAGAACAGCTCCAAAGTTTTGCTATCCTCCTCCTTCACCATTGCTTCACTGGCTACCTCGTAATTTCCAAAAACCCTAGAGTGGAAATGTTGAGAGCTAGAACTATGACAAAGTTTTTGGGAAATTTTGTAAGTAATTCAGAGATTCTTTAAAGGTGGAATCTTTGGAAGTTTAGGACAAGTGTTTTCCTTTTTGGGGAAATATAAGAAATGGGGGATTTCTCGGAGATTTTTTTAGGTATTTTGATTTAACCCATAATTGGGCTATAAGCTCGGCCCGTTAAAAGATATAGGATTTAGTTTCAGGCCTTTCAATAGAGTTGGACCGTCAACCAAAGCTAAAAAGTAGCCATTTTTCGGACTTGTATTGAAAAATAGCCACATATTCAAAAGTCAATTGAAAAATAGCCACTTTTTTGGAATCCATGACAGAGTCATCTCCATAATAGTTTCATGCTATTTCCACATTAAAAACAGCTACTTTGAATAAATTTCCAAACACTGGCTATTTTTTCAATTACTGGTCCAGAAAGTGGCTAGCTAATACAATTTTTACAATAGAATAGATCTGACAAGTCCAGTTGGTCCCAATTGCCCCATCTAAGCGTTATTCAAAGGGCTAAAACCTACTGCAATCAAATTCTGTAAATGAATTTTCTTGAAACATTTTCAAGTTAGGACTAATAGAAGTATGTTTATAAATAGTTGCTAATAGTTGAAATGTAATTTAACATTTATATACTGACAGTGTATAAATTTTTTACACCACTAAATTAAGTTGACCCACAACAAAAAAATAAAAATATTATAACCTCAAAAGTAACAATCGGTTGAATTGTATGGATGGTGTAAGAAGTTGTTACATTGTTACTGCATATTACTTAAATTCAAAAATTATAGTAAGAGATAATGGAAGTGGTAGAAAACCTTTTAAGCTGTCTTTTCGGCGAGAAATTCAAAAATAATCAGATTTACAAGTGATAATTAAAAAATAGTCATAATTTCAAAAGTAATCGAAATTTAGCCACTTTTTATGTAAAGATAAATTTGAACGAAAACACTGTTCAAAATCCGGAAAATATTCTAGTATAAAATACTGGAACTCCAGCATAATATACTGGAGTTCCAGTATAATATACCGGTCTAGCATAATATGCTGGAAGTTCATACACAAATGCTCTAATCTCCAATATATTATGCTGGAACTTTCCGCGTTTTGGAGTTCCAGCATAATATGCTGGAAGTTCATACATATGTGCACCGATCTCCAGTATATTATGCTGGACCGATCCGTGTTACAGTAAAATGCTAGCTATTTTTCAATGACTTTGCAAACGCATGCTATATTTGAATTACTAGTCCGAAAACTAGCTAGCCCGTGCTATTTTTACGTCTTTTCGTCCCTTTTTTTTGGGAGGGGGGGGTTTCTTTCAAGCATATGCAGGTATGAAAGTAAAACTTCCTACTTTGTTTAGTTTCTTATACTTGAAAAATACACTCTTTTTAATTTTCAAATAAAATATTTACAAATTAGATTTAATTTTTATGCGCTAGCAATATAAAAAAATATTTACATGACCATGACACTTATAAGGTACAACAACAACAACCAAGTATAATCCTACTAGTGGGGTCTGGGGAGGGTAGTGTGTACGCAGACCTTACCCCTACCCTAGGGTAGAGAGGTTGTTTCCGATAGACCCTCGACTCCTTCCCTCCAAGGACTCTCCACCTTGCTCTTGGGGTGACTCGAGCTTATAAGGTAACTAGTCTTAGTGCACGCGCTTCGCGCGTGTACTCATATTAATGAATATAAATACTTTTAAAAATTATGTAAATATTATTAGATATTTATAAAAAATTATAAAATAAAAGTTAAAGTTTTTTTTTAAAATAATAGATATTTTGTATTTGGCTAGCTAAATAGATGATGAAATCGTGTCCAATTGAAGTTTTCAAATGCCTTATTGTGATTTATGAGGATTTATGTGAAAATATCTTATGAAAATTATTGTTATTTCTGTGATAATATTAAAACAAAATACAATATTTTTTTTCACGATTCTCAGATTGAATCTTTTGGTCTTTTAATCTGAGAATGAAAAGATTGGCCTTGTACCTCTTAAATATTAATAATCAAAATGTAAAATTTTAAAAATTGACTAATGTTAGAGTTAATATTTTGCGATAAATAACTTAAAATATGAAGAATTTAGGGAGTTGTCCTTCGTCGGAATAAATTCAAAAAAGAATAATAATGAAGGACAACTCATTTAGAATAAATATTTTAAAAGAAAAATAATTAATGATAAATTCATTTAGAATACATTTGTACTTAGAATTAATGAGCGCAAAATTTTGAATATCACTTAAATATTATTAAAATATATTTTGAGTTATAAATTAAAAATTAAGAAAAATAATTTAAGTTTCTAAAAAATATCTATCCAATTTAACTAACTCAATAAAAAGTAGATGAGTTTTCAAGTGAATTGCAGGCCTCTAGCAAATAAAAATATCACCGAAGTACTTGAAAATGATACAAGATTTTACAAGAAAATATATTACCATCGAACTAAATTACAATTAGGGGCTCTCAGCTTTTTATTGTTCCTTTTTTTTCTCCCAAAATTAATTTTTTATTTTCTATAATACATTGTTAAAAGATAAGAATAACATTAATTGTACAATTTAGTTTGTTTGCAAAGTATGATAGATTTGTAGTTAGAGCTAAAGAGAGTTTACGGCAGGCGGCCGGGGATTTATGTCCAGGTTGTAAAGTCTTTTTATACTTTGTAAATATTACTTGGTAAATAAAATTCTTTTACTTACCAAAAAGAATATTAATTGTAAGAAGAAAAAAAGTATAAAAAAAAATAGATATCTTCCACCACCTATCCATCACGTTATTTCCAATATCTAAAAAGTTGGATTTTTTGGTAAGGTTTTAATTAATTTTAACCTAAATATTAGGATTTCTTACTTAGTTCCATAAGGAAAGATATAATAATCAAACTTTTAGTTGATTTTATTGTCCTAGATATTAGGAAAATAATTTAAATTATAATTTTGACCAATATAATATTTATTTTTAAAGGATAAGAAAGACGAACAACATTTTGCTAAGGGCTTTCGTGCTTTTAATATAGTATAGATACAAATAAATTTTTATGATAAACATTAGTTAATAACATGATCATAACTGCTTGATATCAAATGTTAAATTACACTAATATTATAGAGAAATAGACTTCTACTACTGTACTTCTAACTTAGGCAAAAGAATTGACTGAAGTACTTATATGTGTTGGTCTCCAAGAATTCTTGGGTTGCAAGTAGTTTAGAGTATAGACCAAGCAATCAAAATTGTCTTCCTCCAAAGCTAATTAGTAAACATAATTTGAGTCGAAATACGAGTAAAGTAAAACATAAGTTTGGGTTTTGAAAATCTGTTTATTCTGACTTTGACGTTAGCTGCTTGATTTTGACTACAAAGTCAACTTCAACCCTACCGCCAAAAATTTATTTTGATCTCCGTAACACAACAATTTATTTTGATCTCCAATCATCAACAACTACTAACATTGGACTTAATCACCTAAACCTTTGGAAATAGTATATTTAGCCTTTTTTAAAAAAAATTAAACACATCAAACTACTCCCGAATTGTTTACTCTTTTCACCAAACGACTTCTCACAATTCGTTCTAACTAAATACCTTGCCAAACATAAAAGAAATCTCAAGCAATCAAAGTGTTCAACACTTAGCTAGAGAACGGATTCATCTAAACATAGTATAATATTCAATACGGAACATAATTATATACATGTAAAAACTCACTAAAATTTTTACAAATAGCTTATCTTAATTCATAAACTTAAAAGTACAACTCAACATCAAAAATCTTGAACGTCGGACCTATTAAGTTTGAATTCTCGATCTATCTCGATAAATAACTTTTTTTATTTCCCATTCGATGTCCAGTACCTAATTGGGCCGCGATTAATAGGGATTTGGGTCACGTACGACCTATTAAAAAAAGAAACACTTTCTACCAAAAAAATTCATTCACAGGGCTCGAACCCGATGTCTCTCCAAATAAATCTTTTTAACATTGGATTGTATGGGGTGAAATTGGTTGGTTAAAGGTGGCCGAATAGCGAGGTGGCACGTGGAACCGAGAACATACAGAAGTTGAATCGGTAAATGATTGACATCGGTTGCAAGCAGAGGCGGAGCCAGAATTTAAACGTTATTGTCACAACCCCAATTTTTCTCCGTAGGATACCATGACGGCACCTAATCTCTAAGACTAGGTAAGCCTAACACTTACTAAATTAATAGTAAAATTTAACCAACAACTATGAATTTCGATATGTAAATTTTCATACAAGCCAACAATCCCAAAACCGGCAGTACAAGTCATAAGCTCTATTGAGTTTGCTAAAAAATCCCTAAATATATCTGTTTCGGAATAGAAATAAACAGTACATGTACAATATCAGAAGGTGACTCCGAGGCCTGCGAACGCTACAACAGGTTTACCTTGAGTCTCCACAGCAAAACCCGAACAACTAGCTATTGATCAACCAACTCCTGCACAAAAATATATAGAAAATGTAGCATGAGTACACTACATCGATACCTAGTAAGTATCAAGACTAATATCGATGGAGTAGTGACGAGGGACAGTCAAGACACCTACTGGACTAAACAACCAAAACAAGTATGAAGATGAACTAACGGGGAAACAATATTAATATAAAGCTAAGCATGGTAAGGAAGACAAAACAATACTCACAATGAAACACAAGAAATAACAATTGGCAACAAGAAGCAAACAGATAGTAACGCTGTAGTTCGAAGTCCGATGAAACCAAATAAAGAAAAACAAGTAACAACTCAACAAGAACAACAACTTTTACACCAGATCTATTCAGGAATTTTCACGAGGTACCAAACCTCATAATCACAAATCACAGGTCCCAGTTCTTAAACCCTAATCACTTGACCTCTTGTGCCCACATTACAAATTCATAACTGCACGGACGACTCACGTGCTAAGAGAATGACAATATCTAATATCCGCACAGGACCACTCACGTGCCAACAATAACAATGACTCATGACTGCACGGACAACTCATATGCCAACAGGATAACTCTCACACATAAGGTAAGTACATGGGAGTATATATAAATGGTCAA